GTCACATAAATATATCCCCTCTCCTATGCTCTTTTTGTTTTGTAACTCTGATAGTCCTCTATCAAGATGTGGGGGTCTATGTTCCCTTCCCTTGAATCCCAGTGGGCCATGGCTCCCAGGGAAGTAACGCTGCGTGACTTCTCGGACTTGGATATGAAAGGCAATAGAGATTCCATCTGGCTTTCTCCCTTTCTCAAGACATATGCTTGGAAGAGGCACATATCATGCTTGGCTTGATAAAAGAGGTCCAGCTATTCTGAAGCCACCATGCAGGAGTGATCTTGTAGAGAGACCACAGAGCTAGAAATGCTCAATGAGTTCCAGCTACTCCAGTCCTCACCTATTTGTCTCTTCCCAGTTGAGAGTTCAGACGCATGAGTGAGTGAGCCTGCAGATTTCAGCCCTTAGCCTTTGGGCCTCTTCAGCTGTTGCTTTTCCTAAGAAGCCCATTCTAAACAGCACATTCATGAGAAAAGTAAATGTTCTTGATTTGTAAAGCCAATATATACTGGAGAAGGATTTATATGGAGAAATAGATAACTCAAGTAGATATTATAATCTCTAAACCAGCAAAGCCCAGAGTTTCTGGGATGGAAGGCAAACATTTTGTGAAAGGGTGATTAGATGTAATTGTGAGTGGTGCAACCTCCACTTCCACCCTTTGGCACCTGAACCTGGATATTCTAGATATGGGAGAAAGCATTATATTACCATATTATGTTCACTGGTTCAGATCATTTTCTGTATCCTGTGAGAGAGAACCAAACATTTAAAATTAGAGCTAGCATTGCGACTGATAACTTGATAGATCATCACAGGGTTGTACAAAGCCAGCTACTTCTGGAGAATGAAGGTGCATATGAATTCCATGTGTGTTAGTTCATGCTGTACTTCTATCATTGTAAAGTGAAGTTCATAGAAGCAATGCTGTGGCCAGTACTGTACTTCTGTATCAGGTACTTGTTATTCTGCAGATGGTGGTGTTGGCTCTGTTGTGAGAGGTGTGGAGAGCAAATCTAAACCCAGAATAAGTGTTTATTCCATTTAATGTCAGTGACTGCCTGTTTCATGGTGGAAAGAGTCCAATGTAAACAATTGGCAAGCAGCTGCTTAGTTACCTTGAAGCACAAGATCTTATCAAGCATTCAAAGTTAGTCACTACTTCTGGTAAGCTGTATATTTGGCAGAAGCTCTGGTCAGGTAAGCAAGTTATGAATCTATTTATATCCTGTGTTCCTCTGCCCATGGCCACTGCTTTCATGAGTCTGTTGAATAAACAGGTGGGGTAAGGGGGGGAATACTGAAGAAGAAATTAACAGAAATAATAGTTTTGTCCACTCGATTCATGGAAGACTTCTCTATAGTAGTGGTCTTCTGGCAGGCATTCATATGAGACACAAATATTCTCACACTCTCACACCTTGAGCCCATTCTGAGAGGTCCAATTGCATGCTCCTTCCCCAAATCACTTTGTCATCAATCCTCTCTTCTTGCTTTTTCCAAGCCCCTGACCCTCTGGTCAAATGTTTTCCATTGCTCATAATTTAATGTGGATATTAACAATTCACCTCTTCTAGAAAAAGTGGACACTGAAGTGTGCTGTTCAAAGTTCTGCTCAGTGAAAGTGTTTCACTTCACCATTGTCCTCTAAGCTCACCCTGAGTGGCACGTACCACTGCACAGGTCTCCTCTGGCCTGTATCAGTATTGGAGGCAGACCTATCTGTAAATTAAATTCACGTTTCTTCAGGTGAAAGCAAAATGTTTAAAAATGTTTATATTTAGTGCAAAAGAGAAGCTACTATTTTCAGGATAAACAGCTATATACCAAGTACTAGAGTCTGTGTAGATTTACTTCAATGAGATAAAATCTGAAATAGCAGCTTTCATTTGTGTCATCACCTGATTAAGTTTAGGACAATTCACTGTCGTTCTCAAAAACTCATTTATCTTTGGTGTACTGCACTGGAAAATTAAATGGAAATGAGATAAATTACCACCCTGGTATTATTGAAGTTTTAATGATGTCCCTATCCCTGTGATTTTTCTGGGAATGTGAGAGTTTTTGTTGTACTTTTAGTGGGAATGAGAATTCCAAGGGCATCCACTTGACCTTTTCTACCACAATACCTATTGATGAAGGAGTCAATGCAGGAATTCTGACACTTTTTACAGATACCCTTTCAAAATATATGACACAATGGGGTTTAACTGCAGAGTTCGTCCCAAAGAGTACCCAGTCTCCCGCTTATTCAAGGGCCTCTTTGTTTATGAATTAATTAAAGCCTAAGGATTGAATGAGGACTACAATTCTCTATTGTGGTTGCTGTAGACTGAATTCTGCTCCTCAGATCGGATTTTTTTTTTTTTTCTATACAAATAAAGCAGGACCTTATTGGGCTGCTTGTCTCTGTTGGCTCCAGAAAATCCCTGTTCAATCAACTGTGATGGATATTACTGTGCTCAGACCGTGTGATTACCATGTGGCCAGCTGGTTCTTATTAGCATTACCATGTCCACTTTGCTTTTACTTAAATGCTGCTACTTGACTTTTGATAGCCTGAAGTTCTTGAGTTTATTTATTTATTTATTTATTTATTTATTTATTTATTTATTTATTTTTGAGACAGGGTTTCACTTTGTTGCCTAGGCTGGAATGCAGTGGCATGATCATGGCTCACTGTAGCCTCGACCTTCCGGGCTCAAGCAGCCTTCCCTGCTCAGCTTCCCGAGTGGCTGGGACTACAGATGTGCACCACCATGCCTGGCTATTTAATTTATGTATTTATTAGAGATGCGGTTGCGCTATGTTGCCCAGCTGGTCTCAAACTCTTGGACTCAAGCGATCCTCTCATCTCAGTCTCCGAAAGTGCTAGGATTACAGATGTGAACCACTTCACCCGGCTTTCTATACTCTTCATGTCAGCAGGAATGCAGACACCCAAAGCCTTACCCTAAAAAGAACTTGATTTGGGGGGGCCATGGGTGATAATTTAATTAGTTTTATAGCTACTTTGTAAAGTCCTGCATTCCCACCTGCGGTTATTATTGAGAATTTCATTGCCTCTGCTTTACCTTAGACAGGTGACAAGATTCAAATTCTCCCTATTCCCTTTGGAGCCTGTTACCTACCCTTCACTTTTCGGAAATAATTTCTGTATCAGGTAGGATTTTTGGATGCAATTAGCAAAAATAATCTCTTAGCAAAAAGAGGGATATATCAGAATGTTATTGGAGCTTGCAAAATTGATGGGGGCTAGACCATGGGCTTAACGGGCATGCTGGGATCAGGAAGTTCAGAGGACCAGGCAGGAGAGGTGACAGTGTTTTAAGACAGGGCAGGGCGGCCAGAGTCCACTGTGGTTCACAGTGTGAGAAGTAGGTCTACTCTTAGAAGTGATTATTCTTAGTATGTATTTACTTCTTTTGATCCTGTCAGACTTCCAAACACAAACAGACTTCTCAGCAAACAAACTTAAATGTACATATATCTTTCAAAATATTTGAAGAGTTTAATTAAAAGTCATTTTCACTACCTCTAAAAAGAGTTTTTATATTCAAAATATCCATCCTAATAGACAAACGTACAAGAGAGGAAAGATGTTAAAAATTTTCGCATTTCCAAGCATGAATGTCTTTGGATCATTTATCAAAGTTCTCAAAGAAAGAATTGCATGTAATTGAGATAATAGATACATAGACATATGATAAACAATCAACCTGAACATTCATGGTTCAACATATCCTAGAATACCCGAGAGACAACATCTTGGTTCAGAATTAGATAAATTAATTAGGACAAATGTTCTTATTAATTCAGAAACAAAATGGGTTATTTGAAGATTTAAAATCAGACAAACACTTTTGGAAAAACATCTATGAGCTGACTGAACTTGGCATCCAATGAAGAGGATAAATATTTGAATTAAGAGTGTTTTCAGAATTCAGATTGTGATGGCCCAGTGTGGTGGCTTATGCCTATAATTGCAGCACTTTGGGAGGCTGAGGCAGGTGGATCACCTGAGGTCAGGAATTCAAAACCAGCCTGGCCAACATGGTGAAACCCCATCTCTACTAAAAATACAAAAAATTAGCTGAGCATGGTGGCGCATGCCTGTAATCCCAGCTACTCAGGAGACTGAGGCAGGAGAATTGCTTGAACCTGGAAGGCAGAGGTTGCAGTGAGCAGAGATAGCGCCATTGCACTCCAGCCTGGGCAACAAGAGCAAAACTCCATCTTAAAAATAAATAAATAAATAAATAAAATAGGAATTCAGATTGTGGCAATTAAATGGAGAATTAAATGGAGGATGGTATGAAGTACAAAAAGGCAAAGAGACTGAAAGTCATAGATGCTACTTATCTTATGGGAAAAAAATAAACAAAAACCCTAAACAAACAAACATTCAAGAACAATAGGCTTCATTTTCTTTTTCTATTTTTGGAACCATGGAAAAAATAGAGCCTAGTGGTTGATAACTTCACGTGGTGTGATGGTCCATGTAAACCCTCAGAGGGCTTCCAATTGCAAAAAGAGATTATCCACAAGCAGAGAAAATGGTGAAGAAAACTTAATTGGCTGAATTGTAAAGATCCCTCTCTCTAAAAGGAAAGCCTTAGGTCAGGTGCAGTGGCTTGCATCTGTAATCCTAGCACTTGGGAGGCAGAGGGAGGAGGATAGCTTGAAGCTAAGAGTTTGAGATCAGCCTGGGCAACATAGAGAGACCGTGTCTTTACAAAATAATAATAATAATCTGGATGTGGTGACAGGTGCATGTAGTCCCAGCTACACGGAAGGCTGAGGAAGGGGGATAGCTGAAGCTCAGGAATTCAAAGCTGCAGTGAGTTATGTTAACACCACCGTGATCATAGCTGTTGCCCAGGTAGACGTTTAAGCTGTCTTAAACCTCAGCTTCCTCTAACCTGGGCTACAGAAGGAGACACTGTCTTAAAAAAAAAAAAAAAAAAAGGACAAAAAAAGGACAGCCTTGTAAACTGTAGTTGGGGCAGACAATTACTGAGTGATTGATTGCTTCAGTCATCATAAGGGAAGCAAAAATGTTTGATTTGGATTGGGCTAAGAAAGAAAGAATTCTGTGCCTGTCTCTGTCTCTTTCACTTTGCTTAGGTAGCGTCTATTTGTCCTCAAAGCCTCAGGAAGGGGAGACCACCTGTTTCTTGCTCCCAGCGGATGGTCATGGTCGACAAGGCTGTTGATCCTGGTGACGGCGGTGATGCTGCCCAGAGTGGTAGTTGGGTAGTGCTGGAAGGATTTTAAAACCCAAAGATTACTTTCACATACTTGTAGAACAGATTTGAGGCCAGTGTAGCCAGAGAGAAAGAAGTGGTTCCCACAAAACAATTCAGATGGTGTTCCATAGCCCTGAAAAGTCTTCCTCAGATTTACCCTCTATCAAAAGCAGAAGCTGAATTTGAAAATATCTGTTTCATTCTCTATGTATGTTTCTGTGCTAACTATATAATTTACTGGAGGTGACTTATTTTATTTTGGAACACATTTTTTCTTTCTTTCTTGTTTGGAATGAAACAAAATGTCATTTCTCAAACTGCCATGTTTTTCCTTTGGGATTTTTAGATTCCACACTTACTTGCTGTGGACACTAGGGGTCAGCAAAGAATAGATGTATTTTCCACTAGCGCTCAAACTTAAGCTGCTGCTGTCTTAGCCTGTGTAAAGATTCAAAAAAGGCCGGCGCGGTGGCTCACGCCTGTAATCCCAGCACTTTGGGAGGCCGAGGCGGGCGTGATCGCCTGAGGTCAGGAGTTCGAGACAAATCTGGTCAACATGGTGAAACCCCATCTCTACATACAAAAATTAGCTGGGCGTGTTGGCGTGTGCCTGTAATCCCAGCTACTCGGGAGGCTGAGGCAGGAGAATAGCTAGAACCTGGGAGGTGGAGGTTGCAGTGAGCCGAGGTTGCATCATTGCTCTCCAGCCCTGGGAGACAAGAGCGAAATTCCATCTCAAAAAAAAAAAAAAAAAAAAAAAAAATTCAAAAGACAAGCCATGGTATCATGCACTATGGATATTTAGGTATCTGTTTTCGATGGAGTCTTTTGAATGATCATTTTTATTGCTTTAACCTACATTCACTATTTGTTCACAATGAAACATCTTTCCTAAAAGCTTAAAAATTAAAGTTTTGAATAACATACTTTTAATACTTATTCCAAACGTTTTCCTGATAATATCACACAATACAAATAATCTTTTGAGGAAAGTTTAAATATAAAATTCACAATCAAATGAATGATAATTAGTAATCTGTATTCTTTTAGCCTAAATAGGCAATGCACTTTTTCTTATGCTTACTGTCCCAGTTCCTTTCTCATCCCTTCTTCTCTTTTCGTATTACTTAATAATAAAAATTGTAAGTACAAGAATAGCAATGATGACTTCCTACAGTCTCAGAAAACCCTTGAAAATCAAATAAAAATAAATTATAACATGGTAGAATTAACAAACTTCTTGCTGGATTTTAGTATCCAGGTTGTGGCACACTTATCAGGATGTATTTTATGAATTGCACGTTGTTAATAAGTTCGGCTTCCTTACTTATTCCAGTGTGCCATATGCATACACACACACAGGAATAAACAAACACTGTGTTAAATTCCTCATTGTTCCATTGCTAGCCAAGGTGAGTTAATCCATTGCCAGTTAAATTAACTACTTGGAAATAGCAGCAGGAAAAATATTCAAAATAAGTAAAAGTACAAAGAAGAACAACTTTTAAAAAATGGAACTAAAGTTGAAACTATTCCAAAGAACAAATGGGGAGGTTTCATATTCCTGTGACCCCCTGTAACCAATGAGGTTAACATGGGTCAAGTTCACATGAAAAGAATTTCTCTGCAGATAAAATGTACTTCTTACCTTATAAGAAAATAACTTCAAGACTGAATAAAAAAATTAAAAGCATCTTTTTCCCTTTAAAAAGTATGTATATTTTTTCTTCATTCAATTTTATTAGTTTATACGTTTCTAGAGAGCAGTCACTAAATTGTTTTATGTTTTGCTTAACATGACACTCCACACATATAGATCCTTAAGAAGACTGCACTCCTCTAAAAGAGAGGATTAATAAAGGAAATATTCTTGAATTTCCAATTACATCTATTGCCCAGTGTAGTCAATCATTTTCACATTACAGAGTCTTTGCTTGCGGAATCATTTGATAAAGAAGTGTCAAGTCACAGTGCAGAGGGAAGATGTCCTAATGAGGTTCCTGGCATTGAGATAGTCTGAGCCCAGGGGAGTTCTCCCTGTCAGTCATCTCCAGCTTGCTCTGACCAGGCACTTTGTGGGCTGCAGCCCAGCTCACCCATTGCGGAGAGGCCATATGCTCTCACCGCCAGACAGTTCGGATCAATTGACCTTTAATGGTTTTTATTGTTTATGCTGCCCTTTAAAGTAGCCATCATCTTTTTTTAAACCTCTAGTTCTGAGGATTTCTCCAGACCTAGACAGATAGAATGCTTCTTTGTCTAGGAAAGAAAGTGAAGACTCCTCTCAGGGTTTAAGAGGTGGGGATAAAAGTCCTGGGGTGGAGAAAATCTTGGGGCTAAGAACAGGGCACACGTTTCTTCCTCTTTCTTTTACTTTTTTCTTTCTTTCCTTTTTTTTTTTGGAGACAGGGTTTCACTTTGTCGCCCAGGCTGGAGTGCAGTGGTGGTGTGATTTTGGCTCACTCCAACCTCTACCTCCTTAGCCCAAGCAATCCTCCCACTTCAGCCTCCCGAATTAGCAGGCCACCATGCCTGGCTAATTTTGTTTATTTTGTTGTAGAGATAAGGACTCACTATATTGCCCAGGCTGGTTTTGAACTCCTGGGCTCAAGCAATCCTCCCACCTCAGCCTCCCAAGTTTTGGAATTATAGGTGTGAGCCACTACACCCAGCCTTCAACCCTCTTTCTGATGCTGCTGATAGGGAAGAAAAAAACTCTCCATAATTCTGCTTTTGGACAGACCTCTGTCTTTTTTTTTTAATCCTAATGGCAAGGTCATAATTCTAAAGTAAAAGAAAAAAAAGTACGTGTGTATATGTGTGTATGTGTATATGCCAGCCAGGGACATGTTTTTTAGCACATTCTCCATCCATACTTGTTATCCTCCCTCCTCAATATGATAACAAGTGAGGAGCTTTTATTTTACTCTTGTCCCTCAGCAGTCCCTTTACCATGACCTCTGAGTCTTGAGGGCCATGCTCTTCTCCTTAAATCTATGGGGGCCTATGGCCACTGAGCTGCAGTAAAGAAGAACTCCAGCTTGCAGGGAGGCAGAAATCAGAACAAAGTGCTACTTAGAATTGTTCTTCTTTGCACCTTCCATAGTTAATCTTTAGCAACCTAAAACACATCAAGTGGGAATGTTCACCTCAGTCCTTTCTTTATTTTATTAAATTTTTGAGACAGAGTCTCACTCTGTTGCCCAGGCTGGAGTGCAGTGGCACGATCTCGGCTCACTGGAGTCTCAAAGTGCTGGGATTACAGGCATGAGCCACTATGCCCCGCCAGTGCTGTCTTTCATATAAGTAAATATATGACAAGGGGGGACAGCAAGTGTCATAAATTCTGATCTCATTTCTGGTCTTAAACCTCAGCTTCCCTCAGAGAAAAATGAACTGGCTGGGCGCAGTGGCTCAAGCCTGTAATTCCAGCACTTTGGGAGGCTGAGGCAGGTGGATCACCTGAGGTCAGGAGTTCGAGACCAGCCTGCCCAACATGGCGAAAGCACGTCTCTACTAAACATACGAAAAATTAGCTGGGTGTGGCAGTAGGCGTCTGTAATCCCAGCTACTACGGAGGCTGAGGCAGGAGAATTGCTGGAACCTGGGAGGAGGAGGTTGCAGTGAGCTGAGATGTGCCACTGCACTCCAGCCTGGGCGACAAGAGTGAAACTCCATCTAAAAAAACAAAACAAAAAAAAAAAAAGAAAAAAGAAGAATGAACTAACTTTTCCTTCCTTCCCTCCCTCCCTCCATCTTTCTTTCTTTCTTTCTTTCTTTCTTTCCACCAGTTTTGTGGAAGAAGACAATTTTTCCATGGACGGGGAACAGGAGGGGATGGTTATTTTCTGCAACTAAGACAGTCCCACCTGGAGGTGATGGGAGACAGTGACAGATCATCAGGCATTAGACTGTCATAAGGAGCCCACGACCTAGATCCCACTCATGCGCTGTTCACAATAGGGTTCCTATGCAAATAGGGTTCCTATGCAAATCTAACACTGCCGCTGATCTGACAGGAGGCAGAGCTCAGGTGGCAATGTGCACGATGGGGAGCGACTGTAAATACAGATGAAACGTCACTCCCTTGCCCACCTCTCACCTCCTGTTCACTCCCTGGCCCACCTCTCACCTCCTGTTCGCTCCCTGGCCCACCTCTCACCTCTGGCTGTATAGCCTGGTGCCTAACAGGCCACGGACCAGTCAGTATCCATCCACCACCAAGGGGTTGGAGATCCCTTGTTTAGAGTAGATAATTCCTAAGTTCCTTTCCGTTTCTCCAAGCCTCCTTTTCTTTCTTTCATTTCTTTCTTTCTTTCTTTCTTTCTTTCTTTCTTTCTTTCTTTCTTTCTTTCTTTCTTTCTTTCTTTCTTTCTTTCTTTCTCTCTCTCTCTCTCTTTCTTTCTTTCTTTCTTTCTTTCTTTCTTTCTTTCTTTCTTTCTTTCTTTCTTCCTTTCCTTTCCTTTCTTTCTAAGTGATTTCTTTTCTTTCTTTCTTTCCTTGTTTCTTTCTCTCTTTCTTTCCTTCTTTCCCTCTTTCTTTCTTTCTTTCTTTCTTTCTTTCTTTCTTTCTTTCTTTCTTTCTTTCTTTCTTTCTTTCTTTCTTTCTTTCTTTCTTTCTTTCTTTCTCGTCTTTCCCTCCCTCCCTGCCTCCCTGCCTGCCTCCCTCCCTTCCTTCCTTCCTTCCTTCCTTCCTTCCTTCCTTCCTTCCTTCCTTCCTTCCTTCCTTCCTTCCTTCCTTCCTTCCTCTTTCTTCTTGATGTCTTTGCAAAGTAAAGCTAATAGCACTCAGTGTATAGGTCTGAGTGTCCCAGTGTATGAATGTCTAAGATATTATATCTTCTACTCATTTCATTCTGAGGGCATCCTTCATTGAAAATCTCTTTCCTTCTGTCCACTCTCCCAAATTCCCTTCTCCATTGAGCACAGTTTTCATTCTGCCCCTTAGCTTAATCCTCCCTCCCCCAATTACTCCCTTTGTAAGTTCTTAGAGACCCCGAAGTTATCGTTGGTA